CAGTTTAAAAGTTCTAGCCAATCGACCGGAAGCAAGAATTAGGGCAGTTTAAACAGTTCTAGCCAATCGACCGGAAGCAGGAATTAGGTCAGTTTAAAAGTTCTAGCCAATCGACCGGAAGCAAGAATTAGGGCAGTTTAAACAGTTCTAGCCAATCGACCGGAAGCAGGAATTAGGGCAGTTTAAACAGTTCTAGCCAATCGACTGGAAGCAGGAATTAGAGCAGTTTAAATAGTTCTAGCCAATCGACTAAAAGTAGGAATTAGGGCAGTTTAAACAGTTCTAGCCAATCGACTAGAAGCAGGAATTAGGGCAGTTTAAACAGTTCTAGCCAATCGACCGGAAGCAGGAATTAGGGCAGTTTAAACAGTTCTAGCCAATCGACTGGAAGCAGGAATTAGAGCAGTTTAAACAGTTCTAGCCAATCGACTGGAAGCAGGAATTAGAGCAGTTTAAACAGTTCTAGCCAATCGACTGGAAGCAGGAATTATTTCAAAATTCACTTTTTTATTCACTGACACTAATCTGGCTAGTAAAGTTCTTTTTTCATAATCCAAAAAGCATCTACATTGGTTATAAGTTATGAGGCTGAAATTCCAACCTTGTTAGCCATTGTTCTCTATAAGCTACTAGAACTTTAACAACAAAATTAAGATTACTATACCACTTACTACTGCCTCTTAAAAGTACATCCATATTTTTACATCAACAAATACTATACCACTCACTGCTTTTTTCTATTAATATATTAATACTTTTACATGCACAATTAAAACTACTATGCTATTACTTAATACAGTATTTGCTATTTGCGAATTCATATTTTTACATAGATAATTAAGACTATTATAACACTCATTGTTGTCTGCTACTAGTAAATTCATATATTACATCCAGAAGTAAGACTACTATACCACCACTGCTTCCTAATAGCACATTTATATTTATATAACCCCAATTAAGACTGCTTAAGAGTGACCTAACAGTGCAGTTAGTGACTGGAAAACTAACCAGTTTGATTGAGTAGTAGATTTCTGCAATATTATTCCAACAGAAGAAAACTCAAGTTGCTACATACACTCCTTAATCTAGTTTTTTTTTAAATCTATCCATTGGAAATTGTTTCTTAAACCCTGAAACACGATAACCAAATATCAACCAGCACTTACAATTTTTTTTTATTTATGGCAAAGCTATTAAGGCTATCTGTCATTGTTCTTGTTTTTAAACTACTGACCAGAGAGAGAAGGCAGCCAGTCAGCAGCAACCATACCATCCAACATCTATGCTAAGGAATTGACTGTCACTTTTATAATGCACCCACAGCTTAAAGTGTGGAGAAAGTTTTGTGGTATCACATGGATTTAACCATGGCTTGCCACCTACAAAATCCAGAACTCTACTACGTGGCCAATCTGTGCCTGCTCATATAAAAACAGTGACCAGTATTCCAAGACTTGAAACACATACACCTCACATCTAAATAACATATATATAGATCAAAACATGAAGAAAAGTTTGCACACTACCAAAAACATTCTGTAAATGTAGAATGTAACTTGAAAAAATTCTTTATTCTAATTTTTTTCATTAAATACCTTTTTTCTTGTCCTCTTTCTATAATTTGTTTGGAGATACCTATGGGTCATTTCTGACATTTCAGAATGTAGTTTCTGGTTAGAGGTGTTATCAGTCTCTTCTGAATGGCTATTTCCTTCTCCAGAAGGAGCAATTTTGTGAGATATTTGATGGTGTCTTTTATGACTAGCTTCATGCTCAGACAGGGCAACTTGTGAGTGAAAGTGGTAGGACTTTGTTGCTTCATCATACATGTAATAAGATCCAGAGTAAGGCTCATAAAACAAAGTGCTTACCTAGAGTATGGGAGAAGAGACTTAAAAGCTTTAAAAAGTAAATAAATAATTCAAACAGCTTATTTCAGCTGAAGCTGTTTATAACATTAGATTTATGTGCACAAAGAAATCAAACTACATACTATAAACTAGAATCTTCCTTCCATTTGAACTTACAATCAATTAAAGAGTTTGTTTAACCTATCCTACAAAAAACTTGCATTTTGTTGTCAATCTCTTAAACAGATGAATTTTGGTTATAGCTTTGTTACTGGTAAACTCAAAAGAAGAAAAATATCACATGAAAATATTTCTTCCAAAAAAGCAGAAATATGTAAGCAAAATGTTGATGACTCAGTAAATTTGAATGGAAATTGTATTCTTATTTACCCAATATGCCTAATAAGGATAAATTCTTACATGTTATTTTTCTTTTCATATCTTTGATTTGAGGAATGCCAAAAAAGTTAAATTTGGAAATACAAGATTTTCTGTTGAAAACCAAAAGATATCTATAATAACTTCTTATAAGAGGATTACAAGTATGTTATATTCAAATAAATAATGAAGCATTAACTAATTAATAATGCCTTTTTCAACAAATAAACATATATAGTCGTATTTCTAACAAAAATTTGTTTCATCATTAAACTACAATGATAAATAACTTATCTGCATTAACTGAGTATAATTTCTTAGAATAACTCATGAAAATACACACGTTTTAGTTGAATAACATGTAAGCATAATTAAAAATAGAGGGCACTCAGTAGAACACATACTTCTGCCATGCAGCATTGATCATATTCGGCCCTCAAAAAACATATGAAAATGTGTCCGTATGTCCACTGTTATCAACGTACGCAGACCACTTTTGTCAGGAAAATGAGGAATAATATTCTACATATGTCCACCAAGTTTCATCACAATCCAATCATTTTGACTGAGTTATAGAGCAAAAACAGTGTGAAAAATTGGTTCCCATGATAAAAGACAGGGATTTTTTGGATTTTCATGATTTTGCCCTTTGACTTTGACCCTCCAAAAACTAATCACTTCTAAGTTAGATCATAGTCCAAATGTATATCAACTTTTGTCTAAATTCATTCAGCTGTTTTCAAGAAATCCTGCTGACAAACAAACACACATACACAGGGGTGATGGAGGTAATTACTCAAATGAAGAACAAAAAACATTACTATTCAGAATAACGGTTTGAAATATTAAGTAAAGAATAAAAACCTAATACATTTTTATGATTTATTAACAAAAAGTCTTTTGCTAAATACTAGAAATTTTGTCAAAACTTCTTGTTTAGATATTAATAAAATGGAAAGTCTGTTTATTTTGGATATCAGTGCCTAGATACACAAGGCCTATCTGTGATAACCAATCCTAATTACAAAATGATAGACTAGAGGGAAGGCAGCTAATCAAAGATGCCATCCACCAACTGTTGGGCTACTTTGATTGAATAGTGGGATTTTACTGTTATTCTTAAAATGCACCCACAGCTCCAAAGTCTGGAGTATGATTTTGTGTCAACAAGATGCAATCCATGGACCCACAAATTCACACTCCACCATTCACTACTGTGTCATGCCTAGCCCAAAACTGGAAGGAAGGAAGAAAATAATAAAGATTAGATCATTATCAAAATGTATGTAATTCACATATCTACCAAGTTGCATAAGCATGTACCAAAACCTGTAAGATGACACAATTTTGTAAGACATCTATTTGCTGTGGTCTCCACTCTCATGATAAAACCCAAAAAATAAAGCAACAGTTTAATACACCTAAAAAAGTTAACTTCAATATGCCAACATACTATGGACTGCAATACAATCAAATGAATTGTAGAATCCCCAAGTTAAATAATATATATGCACATATACCTAAGCCATTCTGTCTAAGACTGAATATAACATTTTATCACAGCAGAAAATGGATATAAAAAACAAAACGTGTTCTGAATACTATAATATAAGCCTTTGTTAACTGTGAAACAGAATTTCAAGAACCACTTTATTTATAGATTTTGACTTAAGTTGTTCAGAGTCAAGTTTGAGCCAATCAAATACAAAAAATTCTTTCCCTTGAAAAAGACATTTTCATGAAAATAAAAACCTTGAAACCCTAAAGTGTTACAAAAATTACATAATCAAGTATAGAGGTTACAAAATATAAACTCATAGTCTAAGGAATCCTACAGTTTTCGTATTATCATAAATAAATGCTTTTACTTACAGGATCATAATAATACCCAGTGTTGATGCTATAGTACATGCTTGAATTGATGTCATACACATACTCTGAAGACTGTAGTGCTTCACTGGCAGCTTGTTTGACTAGATCAGCCACAGAAGCCTGACAGAAGATAAATATTAGTTTCCTCAATGCTTTTAATAATAATAGAAAAAAAATTAAACAACAATATCCCTTTTTTATATTGTTTGCTTATAATTTTCAAAATGTTTTGCATAAGCCCCATTCTAGCCATATGTGTAGTTTTAACAACAGAATGTTGGTCATGAAATTAGGCTAAATTCCCTCTTCTCAAGCTACTGTTGTTCTGGATCTTCCGCCATTTGGTGACACATATGCTTTCTCATGCAGAACACACTATGTAAAGAGAGAGAGTATTTTTTTAAACTGTTGAGTTACATAATATGTTGAGGATGAGATCTTATGTTCTATTGTAATGACCAATATCAATATTAATATCAAAATATATAGTGCTCTCCTTTCTCATTCTGGAATGGAATACAGAATTCATATTATAGATTATTTTAGACAGTACAAGTGCTGTACATTTTAATACGTACTCAATTACTTGATTTGTGTTTGAACTTTATATAAAGATTACTTTTCACATTGTTCACACTGTGTTTATTCTCTTTTTACTTCAAATTCAGTCAAATTCAGGTTAACTCTGTGATACATTTCCTGTTCTACATCTATAAGGTTTAGGTTATCAATGCACTTAGTGGTGATGTGTGGAATTATTAGGTACACTGATAACCTAAACCTACTTGCAGAATGCATGTTGTACTTAAATAATTCCTACATATGAAAAAATTCTTTGTTTTCCTTACCTGACTGTTAAGATAATAATATCGAGAAAGGATATTTCCACATTCATTTTCAAAACATAGGTGGTAAAATAATCATATTGTTAAATATATATGTTGTTTAATTATAGGCTGTGAAATATATACACTTAAAAATTTAAATACAAATCTTGAACATAATATAAGTGGAATATTCCGAATGTCTTCTTTCCTTCTTGCATCTTATAACATTAAACCTTACTTTGCTTGTATCAAACCATGCCACATTAAAGAAAAAGGACCAGTTATTGTTCATGTTGTAAGTATTGTACATTAGCAGCTATGTTAACTTCAAACACAGACTGATTCATTTGTACTAAGCAATTTAAAAGAAGTAAACCAGTACGAACATACTACAAAAACTGCATATATATATGTATATAAGATTGCACAATTAAAATTTTATTGCAATTAAAAAAAGCTCCAAAAACTATACATGTTTTAGCAAGATTTTTATTCCAAAAAAATGTTAAAGCTTTACAGCCATTTTTTTCTAGTAGTAATAAAATTGTAATTGTGCAAATATAGACATTGTATATAGTTTCTATAGTTCTTTAGCACAATGTGCTATATCTTAAAGTAACAGTCTTAGCATTTTGGAAACTTGTAACTTTGTCAGGTAAAATATTTGTATAATCATCATTACTTGTAGTTTGAATTTCAGTCACTAAGCCAAACTCAGACTACTACAGGCCAATAATATAACAAAGTGTAAAAACACATGGTTACAAGTTATTAAAGCAATAAAACATTTTTCATGGCTCTGGAAATTTAGTAAAAGGTATGAATTAGTATTCAAAGAATCTGGCATGAAGAACAATAACTAGTATAATGCTGAAAGGTAATGTAGTTAGACTATATGGACTATAATCTTTGGCAATATAAATATATTTAAATATGTATGTTATTTAGTTCCATTACAAGTCTAGCACTTCAACATTTTTTCCTCAATCTTGTAAATCTTAATAGTAAAGAAGAGACTGAGTGTACTTTTATAAATTCTGGAAATAACATAGATGCTTTTTCATCTAGTACATGAAAAAAAATATATATTTTAATACCTGTACAACTTGTATTTATTTTGGCACACTTTTTTGCTGCTTTTTTTTTACTTTTAAACTGATTATAACAGAAACACTTGATGAAGTGAACTAAAAAATATATTAGTAGAACTAGCACTTACTCTGGATCCTTCTGGAAGAGTCCAATCTTCAACTGAACCTTGTTCATCTAGCAGGAGTCAATTTTTTTTTATTAATAAGTTAACATACAGTATAGTTATGTTCATAAAAAAGTAGTATTTTAATTTGTGATAACTAAAAGTGACTATGGTCAACTTAATCTCAGAAGTACCTTCAGTGTTGTGAATCTTGTAAATTCTTACCTCATTTCATTATAGAATATATACATATTAAGTTTGCTTGATACACTTTGGTTCCTGGAAATACTCCATTCATTAGTGAGAAATTCTCTTTAAAAGGTTAATGCACACTGGAAGAAACACAACAAATTAAGCCAGACACTATGAGTAAAAAAACAAACTATTTATCCAAATGATCAAAGCAGACAAATGATGTGCTTGAAAGTAGTTAGTTGAGAACCTGGATAGCTTTAAAGGATGAAAAATATTACTTGGAGAAGATAAAGTAAATAAAATTAAAAAGGAAATGGGGGAAAGGATGGTTAATATAGTACAAAAGCCACAAGTTCTAGAACAAGAAAATGTACTCACATATACAGAAAAACAACAAAAATGAAGATTAATGTAAGTTTAAATAGAACAAACCAAACTCATCCTGAGTAAAACAAATTTTTTATTTTTGGTGAATAAATGAATATTGTGAAGTTGAAAACAGGACAGAATTATGTAATTCTAAAAACTACAAAACATTCTACTCTCTATAAACCTTGAAGTGACAAACATTCATAGAAATGTTTAGATAAAAACCTCATATTGTGCTTTAAAAACTTTGTTGAATGAATAAAATTGCAAATCCTTGAATGACAATAAAAAATCAAGTAACATATTGCTGATTAATTAAAAACCATTAACACTAGTTGTAAGATGAGAAAGAAAAAGCATATATGAAGGATTGTAATGACATACAAGTCACAGTTAAAATGTTGTAATGGCCAGGATGAAAGCAGCATGTTTAGAACTTATGTCCTGGCAGTTCAATGGCCTTAAAAAATTAGTATAAATTAGAGTTCTGGGCTCAAGCTCCAGTCAGGGCAGATTTTTTAATATTTTGATTTGTTCCACTGGCACCCTGTTGAGACCCATTTGCATTTTTTTTTCAGGTGTTTGAAGTAGCAAGTATGTAGGCTAACAACACTTAAAAAGCTGAAACAGCACAATAATCAACTTTTAATGCCATAATGCTCCTTCATATAGTTTTCTCTTGTATTAACATCTTCAGAATGGTGAGACACGTGCAATGATTTAAACAAACAGATGCACATCACTCAGCTATTTCCTACAATCAGCCATGTAGACTTGCATATCTATGCAACACCAGGTAAGGTTTAAATTTATACTTTAAAGCATAAGGGCCATTTTGACTAAGAGCCAAGAGTTACACAATCACAGGACAACAAGATTTCCTGGAAAAATTGTTATTCATGAAATATTAAACAAGACAATATTGCAAAGAAGAAACAATTTTCTGGCAAAATTTATGTATTTGACAATTGAACACATTGATAGAACACTCCTAGGCTCATGCTATGTCTTGCTTTGGATAAATCATTACTAATAGCAGAAATATCCAATTCACATCAATCATACTGTTAATTTTTAATATAGAAATATCTGTAAAGAAGCTATAAAATGTAGGTATGTATCAAATATTTTAATAATTTTATTGCAGCTATTTTTACTAACATCAGAAATAGTTTGTTATATATATAACCCTTCCACAAGTGTTCCAAAGTTTACAATTATTACTCCTAATACTTAGGTTTTCATTTCATTAAATTGTTAATACAGAACATCCCACAAGTTGATTATCCAAACTCATAACAATTTTAAAAGCATATAGAAGTAGTTATAAGGGTAGGCTTAATTGTTACTATTGTAATGCTACAAGTATCAGAAATAAAATAGACGACTTTAGAGCAAAGTAGGAATGGAGGATTTTGATATAATGGGAATAACTGAAACATCGTTAAACGTAGATGAATTTGATGACAACATTTTTTTTTAAATACAGGGTTACAGACTAGTTAATAGGGATAGAGTATTAAAGAGGGGGAGGAGTGGCTTTATATATAAAATATGAGTAACATCCTGTTGAAGATATCAAAGATAATAGCAAAGATATTGAATCCATTTGGGTTTCTATTAGTGGATATAAATGGAAAAGGCTTTTAGTGGGAATTTGTTATAGACCACTAAATGATACTGATGAAATTAGCAGGAAACTTTACAATGAGATTAAGATTTCAGCTGTTAATGAAGTCATAATTATGGGTGATTTTAATGTCAGGCTGGGAAATTCTAGAGTCAAACCATGAGAGAGAAAAGTTTTTGGAAACTGTTCAGGATGGCTTTCTTCACCAGTTAGTCACGGAACAAACTAGAAACAATGTTATTTTAGACTTTTTGTTAACTACATATACAGAAATGATTGACAGGGTGGAAATTGGTGAACATCTGGGTGCAAGTGATCATTGCTCTATTAGGTTCAATGTTTTGCTGCATATGGAGATAAGTAATAATGATATTTTGGTTAC